CTAAGCCCTGGCAAATAAGACGATGCTTTGACGTCATCACCCTCACACATTCGTCATATGTTTACAAAAAACGATATATGTTAAGACTTTTCTCGTTCTTAATATAGACTATATTTAGGGTCGATATGTGTTGACTTTACTTTAAAATAGCAGATCTCTGTGACCGGATATAGTTTGGCTTAGACCCCGGCCCCACGAGGACGCATAAGGTAAAACGCATACGCAAACGCAAAAAAGTCTTCCGTTCACACGCATTCGAATCATTAATGTGTCCATTCACACTAGACCGCTGGAAATGCTGGAAACGCTGTAGTACATATGTCAGGCCTGTAAGTGGCGCTGCTGCCGCCACAAAATACACCAAAAGCAGCGAAGAAGACCCCGGAGCATGGTTGCCCTTCTGTTTATTCTCCGCAGTGTTCTCCTGCTGTATATCTCTCAGGTAGTCCACCAGCAGATGAAAAACACCCGCCTCTTCCAAGGGACGAGCGAACCGTGCGGCAGTTTCCTTTAAAAAAAATTCCGCCGGTCAACATGTCCGTTTAAGTTTAAATCTTCCGTACAAATTTAGAAAAGTGCCTTCTTTGTTATTTATTGAGCTTTAAAACAAATTGATAACGACTCTGTTCTCTGTATAATAATATAATAATATTTAATAAACGGTGCCTGCCTCTCTTTTCCTCCCCCTCTTCTGACAGCCCAGCAGCAGGAGATGATCATATAGGGCTTACACACGGAGCCGTTGGATCCCCAGAGCGTTGCGTATGCCGGTCTACCCACCTTGGGACCCGTTACCGTAGTCGTTTAGTCCCCCCCCCGCCCGCAGAGCGGAGCAAGGCAATGAAACTTAAAATAAGAAGCAGCATTTTACGGTGCGCTATGCATGGGGCCGCCTTGAGGGGGTTTCCCGACATGTAATTTCAGTAAATTAAAGAGTGTTTCATGTTGTCGTTGCTGTGGACCTTCTTAATACCTTGGAAANTTTTTAAGACCCTTTCCATACATTTTAAGACCTCATCGCAACTCCGAGTTCTAACCGGTTACATTGGCGACACACTTTACCTCACATTTACTATATTGAATCAATATAGTAAATGTGAGGTAAAGTGTGTCGCCAATGTAACCGGTTAGAACTCGGAGTTGCGATGAGGTCTTAAAATGTATGGAAAGGGTCTTAAAAAAGATCTTAAAAGGTATTAAATTTGACTTCAGGATTCCTGCATATACCCTATTTTAAAATGCGTGTTTTCTGAATGGAGATCAGCTAAGCTAACGCAGTATATGCTCCGACCGTCCACACTCACAACAACGGCCTATACAGACATGAATAAACCAGTGACTGTATTCGCCATGACACAGACAGTCTGTGGTTTGTACTTGTTTAACTTTTGTCTAGTTTCTGAACAGATATGAGGAGCTGTGAGCTCTGAGTGCTAACAGCTAACGGCTGATGTTGATTTTGTGGTTCGCATTGAATGACGTCACGGCTCCGCCTACACTGCGTTACTATAGTTACTGCCCCAGCTACTAAACTGTAATGGAAACGCAGCATAAAGTGAGCCTGGTCTACCAAGGCCTAACTAAGCCGTGCCAGGCCCTGCAGTGGAAAGGCGCCATAAGACTACTTTTTGTTCAGGTGTCACATGTAAATAAAAGTCCCTTTTTTAAAGCAATTCAGTGTTGAAGGAGACGGTACAATACACATCAGTTAGGTAGCTGATAGACAGATAATAGTTTAGAAACAACTTACATTTTAATGCTAAACATTTCCTGGTTTTACCTTAACAAAAGGGAACATTTTCAGCTTTTCTCTGTTGTTTATGATTCAAAAATAACATTTTGGTTAATCAATCATTGTGAAAATAACCTACAGGCTAACTGCTAAAAAATAAATAATTAATTTGTTGGTTGGAGGCCAACTGAAATGTATTAGCAGCAAACTAAATCTGTAAATATTCACGCTCGGGAATCTGGGAATGTTCTACATTTTAACACCATGAATAACTGAAAGGATTAATCTATTGTTAAAATTGTTGGTCAATTCTGAACTAATGAATAGATATTCCTGGAGCAGTCGAAAACTGTATGGTTTTCCTTTGTGTTTTAAGCCAGCCATAGTGTGGAAAATGTAATTATGGGCTTTATGCCACCTGTCAGTCAAGCAGACGTCTCCAGCTGCTTTTCCACTTAGCACGTCCTGTGCACATAGTTACATTTATCACCAATATCATTATTATTTTTTTCATGTCTTTCACGGCTCCAGAGTGAAACCATATAGTCACATAAATAGACGCTCCAGTGCAACTTGAACATATGCTGCTATTCATATTTATAGTCCACATGCATTTTTCAATTACCAGGAGGGAGAGAATTAGACTGAGCCTGTATGAAGAGGAAAATTAAATGTGTTTTTTTTTTTATCACAATAACACCTGTACTGTTTGGGAATCCTTCTAACTGGTTCCAGTGGCGTTTCATTTTGTCCTTTGGTCTCAATAAAACAAATTGTTGATCACTTCCTTGAAATAAAAACAAGAAACATCTGCCAATACAATCCCAGAACTTTGAGTTGGATGATTAGGATGAGAACACTGCAAACATTGCTGCAACAACCCGCTGCTGCAGATACACTCTTTACAACATCAGGAGGATACGTCCCCTCCTGACCCAGAAAGCGACGCAGCTTCTGGTCCAGGCTCTCGTCATCTCACGCCTAGACTACTGCAACTCCCTCCTGGCTGGTCTACCTGCATGTGCCATCCGACCTCTGCAGCTCATCCAGATCGCAAGCAGCTCGTCTGGTCTTCAACCTTCCTAAATTATCCCACACCACGCCGCTCCTCCGCTCCCTTCACTGGCTTCTGGTAACTGCTACAATCCACTTCAAGACACTGGTACTTGCGTACCATGCTGCGAATGGATCTGGCCCTTCCTACATCCAGGACATGGTTAAACCGTACACCTCAGCACGTGCACTCCGCTCTGCATCAGCCAAACAGCTCGCTGCACCCGCACTGCGAGGGGGACCCAAGTTCCCATCAGCAAAAACTCGTGGGCTATCCTGGCTCCAAAATGGTGGAATGAGCTCCCCATTGACATCAGGACAGCAGAAAGCTTACACATCTTCCGGCGCAGACTGAAAACTCATCTCTTTCGACTACACTTAAAGCAATACAATTTTTTAAAAAACAAAACAAAATAAAAAGCACTTATATACTAACTGAATGCACTTATTGTAAGTCGCTTTGGATAAAAGCGTCAGCTAAATGAAATGTGATGATGAGAAATCAGCTGCAGTAGACCCAGAAAATAATAGTTGGTGTTGATTTTTCTGCCTGAGAATCAGCACTGACAGGAAAGACAGACATATCTTATCTCATTCTTTTCTCTCTGTGTGGTCAAACCGTTTGGGGAAAACCAGTTGTGCTAATTTGGCTAGACTCTGTAAACATAAAGCATTAAAATATGAACCGTACAGTTTGCATGGACATATGCACTCCTCGCAGCACAGTGCCAATTCCACAAGCTTTTTGAGGCCGTCGTCTACCAGCTGCTCACAGAAGATACTGTAACAGTACCATTTAGCGTTGCCTACCAATTTGCATTGTAAAAAAATAAAAGTCACACAGTTTATGGCTCAGGAGGAAAATAAAAGGACAGACGGTGAATGTGATACACACATATAAATCAGAATGTGCAGTATTATAGCTAACACATCTTAACTGTCTGTACTTATGACCAAGCTACAGTTAAATATTTGGATTATAGAGCCATGGTTCAGATTGTCTTAAAAATAGAAATGTTCCATTGTTATCAAGCCGTGCAAACAGTTTTGAATTTATTTTTCTAGAGTTTAATGTATTTTCCGCTGAGATTACTGTGACTGCCTCCCTAACAAAATAGTAATAATAATAGTTGTTAGTTATATAGCGCTTTTCCTGGTGCTCAAAGTGCTTGCCTATTGTAGTGAAAATATTTGTGTTTGCTGCTCTCAAAACCACCTAAAACTATCTTAGATACATTTTTTACTATTTTGACTTAGCAAAATTTGGGTGCATGCATTTACACATCCACTGCCGAAATGTTGCCACAATGAATTAGTAAACAGTCGCTAACCTCAAGAGAATCAATAGGTGGACTTCCTGCAGTGTCCTGACAGTGGTTTGCAAGTGAAAGGCTTTCCATTTGAAACAGCAGCAGCAGCAGATTTAAAAAAAAAAAAAAACCCTTTCTTATTGCATCAGCTGAATCAGAGCATATCAGAAAACCGCAAGGCTGCTATCTGTTGGATAAAAGTAAGAACAGCAACTTATACAGGGATCAGAAAGTCTATTTTACACTAAAATCTAAAGGAAGGGACTTTGAAAAATGTTGAGCCAATCAGAGACACAGTGAGGGGTGAGGGGTTTGGTATGCTGCATCTGAAGTGCTTATCAGGGGGTGTTCATCGTCTGAAATCTCCTTCCCTCCCAAATATCTGATGTTGGAAATAGTGGCAACTTCCAAAGGTTTTATTACTTTTCAGAAATGACCTGTCCCCAAGCCAAGTTCACACACTTAGATTAGATATATTTTATTGATCCCCAACTCCTGTTTGTTTTTCATGGTTGTGTAAGTTGGAAATAAGCAGGATTTGAACTGCTCTCACCAACTCTTTTTGTAACACTTATTTTGTGTACAAGCAGCAGAAACACCTTGAATGCCCTTGTTGAACAACCCAAAGAGTGTCATGTTTCCCATGATATGTTGCCACTAACTATGACAGAAGGTTTTTAACCTACGCGTGCCCATTCGGAACCACTAAATACACTTTTGAGCATACACCTGCCCTAAGCGTATTCCTCTTAGAGTGGAAATGTACACGTCAACATGCTGGCTAAAACTTAAAATGGGTTTGGTTAAACAGCCACAATGAGAGCAGGGTGAGAAGCTGGTCCACATAGAGAGGGGGGGGGGAATGCAATACTGTTTGACTATAAAGGCAAACTCTTACAGACAGTCTCTCTTGGAAGACATTCATGGTGTTGTTCACATCAAATATGACAGATGCAGTTGGCAAGACTGAAAAAAAAAAGAACTTGTGAAAGAAATTCAAACCCTGACTGCTTCTCACCTCCGCAATCACGCTGTGAAGTGGGCGTACATTTCAGATGGTCGGTGTCGGAAAGTTTTTGTAATTGTCACACGCAGCCCCCCGCAAACCAATATCACAAATGTCTGGCAGGAGGGGGTTTCCAAATCTATTCGGACATACAATATGAAGCACCTTTTGAAAAAGCAAAGTGTAGTTTACAATGTGACTTATTTGGACAGAGGAAACAGGAAATCTGTTTCCAAAATGGATGTAATAGAGGCAGAAGAGTGAAAACAAAGTGTTATAGGAGATAAATATACATCATCTGCTATTGGCAACTATGTTTATGCCTACACGTTGTAACAACAACTTCTAATGTTTAGCTGCAGAGTCTTTTGTGGCGACTTGGCTGCAGCTAATCCAGTTTTATGGATGAACACTGTGTTCTCCTAAATGTAATTTCTTAAAGTAGTCCTGGCTGGGCGTAAAAGTGCAGCAGTAGTTTGACTGTAAAACTTCCGAGAGCCATTTTAGGAGTCTGCAGAAGAAAGCTCAGTTATGAAATGTCATTAAGTGGTGTTTTATGAAATCGAAGAGATAAATGGATGAGTTTGGCTGAGACCATTTGTGAGTTTGATAATGTGTCGGTCTGTTATTTGTCACCATTAAGCTCAAGCTATTTATTTTTCTCTGTCGTGTTTTTTGCAGAGGAGTTGGAAGAAGAGAAGGAGAGCCCGGTAGAGACAGATATGTCAGATAAACAGAAACACCAGCTTCGCCACAGAGAGCTCTTCCTCTCCCGGCAGTACGAAAGTCTACCTGCAACACACATCAGGTACTGTACAGTGACTCACACTCACTCACTCACTCACTCACTCACTCACTCACTCACTCACTCACTCTCACACTGAACCTCACATCTCATCTGCAGGCAGTGCCCATGGATAGTCATTCATACAGCCATGAACTGACAAATCTAGTGCTGCCCACTTCCTGTGTTTTAACACGGTGCTTGTCCCCCCCCCTCTCTTTTTCTTTCTCTCTTTCAGGGGGAAGTGCAGTGTAGCGTTATTGAATGAGACAGAAGCCGTTCTTTCATACCTTGACAAAGAGGTGGGCCAAAGAAAAGAACTGGAGTTGTCATCTGTTGCAGTTTTGTGCTTATAGCAGATTGTGTTATCGCAGGTTTAATCTTTTTACTGATAAAGTTAACTTTTTGGTTGTCTAATAACTTGATTATTTTCTTGATTTATCGTTAAGTCTATACAATGTAGGAAAAATATTGTGTGCAGTATCATTTTTTTTAACACCAATCATGAAAGTGTTGGATTACTTTTTTGGTCCTACCAACACCTCATGGCTAAAACATTACATTTATTATTCCTTCGACAGACAAATCCGTACATGTAATTTCAGCTAGAGAAAAGTAATTTTTCTGTAGCAGCAGGTATCTTTGTTACATACAAATGTCAACTATGTATAATAGAGAAGACATTGAGTTTGACATTCGAGCCTTTTTTGAAACCATGTGCCTTTCTAAAATGTGTGTGTTGTTCTCTTCAGGATACGTTCTTCTACTCGCTGGTGTACGACCCAACACAGAAAACCCTTCTGGCCGACAAAGGAGAAATCAGAGTGGGACCGCGCTTTCAGGCAGACGTACCTGAAATGCTACCAGAGGGTCAGTCAGAACATGTGATTTTAAATGTACAATTCCAGGTTTTATTGTTTACACCCGAGCATGTCAAATGTCTAGCCTCATTATCTACATTTCCAATATGTGTATTTGTGTGCGACTAGACTCGAGAGGTTACAGCAGGGAAAGGTAGTGTTGTGAATATGCACTCTTTGTTCATAAATGGGGACAATAGCTGCCTTTTTAAATAATCCGCTGTAAGTTTAGTCAGAGTGCAAGCACATGACTGACCCTCTCTGTTTATACGAGTCTACCCAGGAAGAGAATAATAAATGATACTGTCCCATGACTTGACTCTTAATCCTCTTTCACACATCCAGCTTGAAAACATGACCGAGCTCTAACAGTGTCTGGAGTCAAATTGTCTGAGTTTAATCTCTTAGCTCTACCGGGACATTTGATGTGGTAATCTCAAGGCTAGTTCATTATTATTAGAATATCTTACAAATAACCAAAATATTGTTCAGTTTCTTCCCCTTTGGCCCGTGCTGTGTGTAAACTGTTGCCTCTGTGTGTGCTGCAGGTGAGGCAGATGAGAGGGACCAGTCCAAGCTGGAGGAGAAGCTGTGGTATCCAGAGTGTCCGCTCTCCAGCAAACAGATAGACCAATTCCTAGTGGTGGCACGGTAAGACACTCACCTCTGACAGCATGTTATGAACCCTCCAGACTGCAGCTGCAACTTCTGAAATGTCACTAAAGACAGATTATCCATAATAATGCTGCAGTAACTTTATTAGTAATAACATTTTTGTCATGTTTGTTGAAACTCCCACTATATCCTAACTCTGGTGCATGAAGTAGATGATCTGTAGATGGTTCAATATTCCAACGTGCCCAAAGAAAAACAACCAATAAGATCTAAGGCGCTTCTACCACACTTTTAATCACTGCTCGTAAATTCAGATTAAACTGTAAAACTAGGCAGCATGCCCATTCAATTTGCAGCTCTAACCGTTGCATTAGTCAGCCGTTGTTTTTCTGTTTGTGGAAGAATAATTGCAAATATAATCCCTAATGTAATATATGTGCCTTGTTGTTAATTGAGGGATGGTTCCAAAGTATAGTTCATTATAGTAACTTTTTATTATTACCTAAACAAAAGTATATGAGAATTCATCACAGTTTATTTGGGTTTCTAAACTGGACGAAAACAGCATTAATAATGTATAATGCACAGAGTTGTGTTTTTTGTTGTGTTTGAGTCATCAGCCTGGTTTAGTCTCATTACTGGAAGCTGTGCAGCTGCTTTTATTTCTGTCAACACCTATATTTTATAAATATATTCTTTAAGTTTGGTCTTGGGTGTTTGTACTTTTTTCAGAGCGGTCGGGACCTTTGCTCGAGCGTTAGACTGCAGCAGCTCAGTCCGACAGCCGAGTTTACACATGAGTGCAGCCGCAGCCTCACGAGATATCACACTGGTTAGTAGAAGACGCACACAGTACCTGATTTTGACTTTGAAGGATAGTTGTAACCCCCCCCCCAATTGCAGTTCCATGCGATGGACACGCTGCATCGCCATAACTACGACCTGTCCAGTGCGCTGAGTGTTCTGGTGCCGGCCGGCGGCCCCGTGCTCTGCAGGGATGAGATGGAGGAGTGGAGCGCCTCGGAGGCCGCCATGTTCGAAGAGGCACTAGAGAAATACGGAAAAGACTTCAACGACATCCGACAAGACTTTGTAAGTTTGTCTTTGCAACTGAACTCTGGTTTGTTTAACGACATATCAAACACAAGCACTATTCTGTGTTCAGGAGTGTGTTAGTGTTATATTATACGTAATTGTCATAAGAAGCAAACATATGTTTTTCAATAGCTCAGTCAGGCCTGAATGAGGCTAAGATTTTCCCTCTAGACTCAAAATGTGAATGCCTGAAAGGTTTCTCTAACTTGATGAGGAGATGAAACCAGAAGAACAGGATAAACGTGCTGCATTTTTAAAGATCCAGTCCTAAGATGAGAAACAATAACAGTTTGTTACAATAGTAACTCAACACTCAATCCTCTTTTTAACTTAGTATGTTACATGTAAAGTCAATGTATTACACAATGTAGATCCTGCTTCAATTTTATGGTTATTTTTGCATGATTTATTTTCTTATTCAGAGTAGGCATATATGCTCACCCTTTAAGTGAGTAATTTCCCTCTTCACTGACTGATTACTTTATTGTTTTTGTGTATTCATGTATGTCCGTTGAAATTGAACTTACACTGTGGGCTGCTGTGTATACTAAACGTGATCACAGAATCAAGAGTTAAGTAAAAAGCACAGGTTCTGTGACAAGCTGATTTTTTTGTGGGAAATTGCTTTTTTAAAACTTACTTAGCATATAAATGCACCATTGATTATGCTGCATAAGTATATTCAAGAGTTTCTTTATAAATGTTGAGACCTCCTCAGTGAAAAACGTTGAACATTTGGAATTTGCTGTAATCTTCATGATTCACAGTTCTGTAAAGGGAAAACTAAAATCACCAATTTTAACTACCGCCTTTCAAGCCAACAGGGGGTGACTCTTTCTATTGAACTCTCCTGCCCACTCTACCTGTACTCTACAATAAAGTCAGGATATGGGTGTTTGCGGAGGCACCAGGTGCTCATGAATACTTATTAAATGTGTGAATCACTGTGTGTGTCCGTGAGGGAGTGTGTTTTGGTCTGGGGCTCAGCACTGAGCAAAGACGCTAGCTTTCAGCCTCTGTGGTCACGTTGCCTCTCATGAATATATATGAAGGCGTTCGCACGCAGATGGCGAGAACATGAGATATTAATATCATTAATTTGCTTGGTCTCTCTTTCTGTTCCCCTGTCTTCACACTTCTTCATTACTTCCTCCTGTGAAGCTGCCATGGAAGTCTCTGACTAGTATCATTGAGTACTACTACATGTGGAAGACCACAGACAGATATGTGCAACAGGTGAGACTCGTTCAGGATTTACACATAATGTAATTTAAACATTTATATATTTTAGGTTAGGCTTAAAGGTGCCCTGTAGAGTAGACTCTTTTTTTTTTTAAAGTTACCTTTACATGAGACAGACAAAACAAAGATTTTTGAAAAGTTATCTGTACATAATGCCGTGTGTCAGGGTCTTAAATTATGTTTTTGATGTGCTGTTTGGTTTGTATGTCCGCATATATGTAACATATTTCTGTAGTATGTTCTGCATGTCTTATGTTGAACATAATGGTCGAAACCGATAGCAGAGGCAAAGAAACGTTCAATATTAGTCTCTACAATGACTCAAACTTCAGAAATATTAGATCCTACAATTCCGATATTGCACCTCAGTAGTATCTTTTCAGTGTACCTTCCCAGCCTGTTAAATGCACTCATCTTTAAAACTCCATGCACCTCCCCAATCAGAAAGCATGTTATCTGTCAAAAAGTTGTCAGACAGAGACACAACATATTTTATAAAGCTGTTTTGAGGAGAGTGGATTTTCTGTGCAGAAAAAGCATGGGAAGTTGTCAAATAAGTTGAAGTAATAGTTGATAAGTAGGGACACAGCTTTCAGATATGTTTTGTTGTTGATGAATAAATCCACTGTAGGGCTGTACCCGAATATTGGGTCGTTGGAGTACTATTCGGTTTTCAATTTCGTTGTTCGTTTTTCTTTCTTTTTTTTGGCAGTGCCGCAGTGCAGCTGCCAAATTGAATTTATTGAAATCTCCAATATCAACGTGAGAGCTTGTGCCTCTTCGGGAGGTGCTAACACTTAACCATGAACTGTATCCTTTACTTTCTCCGTCTTTATATGTAGATATTACTTTTCTCCGTCAATCTCCACTCCGTTTCTCCATCACGGTGTTTCCATAGCAACAACAACTTCCTATCAACGGCGCTAACTCTCCTTCAAAATAAAAGCATGTCCATACAAAATAGGAAGCCAAGCCAAATTACACTTAAGACATATATAAAACTGCAACGAAAGTAAAAAACACAATACACTATTGTATTTACACTATAAAACAACAATATTGTAGAATAACAAAATGAATGCCTAGAATAAACCAAAATACACGTGGTAAAGCGCGCGCCGAATATTCGCTGCTGACTACTACCGAATATCCGGAGCCCGAAAAATGGTATTCGGGACAGCCCTAATCCACTGTGTTTCTCTTTGAGCAGAAGAGACTGAAGGCAGCAGAGGCAGAGAGCAAACTGAAGCAGGTGTATATCCCCACATAGTAAGTCGCTTTCACATTTATAGAGGTTGGTTGCATATTACCGTAACCGTGGCTTTTAATGCATAATTAATGTCTTGATTTAAAGCACTGCAGAATGTGGCTGCTGTCTGTTTGTTTCCTTAAATCTGCTCCTGTTCTTCTCTGGCAGTAACAAGCCCAACCCCAACCAGATCTCACTGACCAATGGCAAGATGGCGACAGTGAATGGAGCGGGGCCCGGGGCCTTCCATGTATCAGGCGGGGGCAGAGCCTGCGAGAGCTGCTATAGTGAGTTTTGGTTGTGTGAGTGTGTGTGTGTGAGAGTGAGAGTGAGTGTTTGAGAACTGCAGCTGTGAAATTGAATCCCATGGGCGCTGACCACGGGTCAATGAGAAATGGAAGGGAAACTGAGGCAGTGTTTGAAGCTGAATGATTATTCTTCCCTTAAGAGATCCTATGGCTCTGGAAGAGATACGTTCCCTTTATTTTCACCCTCACTGCCTTTCTACCGATGTAACCCGACAGCTGTTACTATGGGCAATATCTCCCTTCACTTTGACAGTTGTTTGGATTTTTCTTTTCTATAAATTGACAGAAAATAGTGAAAATGAGCAATATCCTCATACTTCGAAATGATCACATTTACAATGTTAATACCCAGAGGAAAAAGCGTTTAAATAATGTTTGGCTTTTTCTTAAATTATGAATTATAGGAATCACTCATACTCAAACTTTTCTGTGAAGCTCACGAAGAAGCTACAGTTCGTCTCAATAGAAGCAATAACAATGACTGGCTGATAAAGCCGCTTTACAAAATAATCCTTACAATAGCTGTCTGGCAGAAGCTGTGATTGTGAAGCAGCAACCAGAAACGCTATCTTTTTGTATTTGTAAAACCAGCCGTTGACCAATTTGAGTCCAAGCATTGCAAAAAATAATCACAAAAAAACTTGAAATGTATGTTCTTGTCAGTGACCTATACTTAAAACATATTGAGGTTAAAACTCCTCCCCCATTGATACACCAAAACTGAAATCAGGATTTGATAACAGGATGGATGATCAGTTTTCTGCAGCGATGCTTCTAACCTTCAACGATGTGTTTGTGTGCGTTAACAGCCATGCAGTCGGCCCAGTGGTACTCGTGGGGCCCTCCCAACATGCAGTGCCGCCTCTGCGTTTCCTGCTGGATGTACTGGAAGAAGTACGGAGGCCTGAAGATGCCTAGCAGAGCCGAGGTCCCAGAGGAGAGTACCTCCCCCAGTCCAGTACCTACTGTAAGCTCCGCCAGAATGCACACATGTAAAAATCATGTGATGTATGTGCGAAAATTCTGAAAAGAATAGTGCGTTCTTCATGCAATATTCAAAACCACCTTATCTCTTGCTAAATAGTTGTATCCCAAAGTAAGATGCTTTATAAAGCATAGCACTACACAACTTGCAGCTCAGTAAAGTTTAACATCAATTATTCAGTCAAATCTAAACTTTCTGTATCTTGCATGCCAACTGTTAATACATCGACACACCTTCCTCTTCTTTAAGTGAGAAAAGTGAGAGCGAGATTTAGTTTGTATGTGTGCGGATGACACTGGAATGCAGGATTTGTCCAGCATTTCATTGAAACTTCAAAAAAGCAACACGCCTGCCATGCTGTAGTTTACCCCTTTTTATGCTGACAGAAATACTTATTTCTTTAAAGAAGTATTATGCTTTATTTCTGTTTTCCATTACAGCAATTTCTTCTATTGGCCAATTTTTTTATCTACGTTTATTTTATTTTAGGGATTCATTTGCATACAATTCAATACAGAGGCACTAACTCTGTAATTAAAACCATCAATTATATGGCTCTGTTTAATCAAATGATTCCCATAATGTTTCTCTTAGCCTGCGTACACTACAACATAACCCCTGAAACCAGCTGGCATAACTGGATTGCAGCAGCATTATCAGCATGATTCAACAGCTTAATACGGTCTGATACAACAGCGTTGCATTCAATCCTTCCTTCATGAAGATTATAATGTTCAGTTTTCATTTTCGGTGTTTTTAATAAAATGCCGATTCAGCTGAATCATACGGTCATTTGGAGGCTGTAGTTACGCTCAGTGACATAAGCAGGGTGGAAAATATTTTAGAATCACCCCTGAGTAATAACAGCACAACAAACGGCAGCCTCCAAAAGAACCATAAAGCTGACTTAACTCCTCCATCAACCTTCACGCAGGTAGGATTGTTATAATAGACTATATTCCTTTTATTTTCATATTTAAATGCTAAGATATTAGTATTTTGTTTGTGTTAAACTTGTGTTGACTTCTCTCAGTGGTGTTGTATTTCAAACACTGTGTTCACTTCCATGGCTTTGAAGCACATCGCTCATAGTAAGAAACTGTTAGAGATAAAAGGTTTTCAAACCACCTTTAATGTTTGAGCAGCCTCAGTGATCAGTTCAGCTTGATTCAGCGGCCTCTCCCTCTCTCCCCCTCCCAGGAGCCTCGCTCTCGGGGCCACACTGCTCGCCAGTCCAACCACATGATACCCATGCGAAACAGCGGCAGCCCCAAGTCCAACATGAAGACCAAGCAGGCCTTCCTGCTGCAGGCCACCCGCCTCACCAAGCTGGCCCGGCACATGTGCCGTGATGTCATCAGGCTGCGCCGCGCAGCGCGCCGGCCCTTTATCCCCATTAACTGTGGGGCCATAAAGGCAGAGTGTAAGAGCTCTTTAAATTCCTCCTAACTTCTGCCACATGGACACACACACCTGCAGACAAAACACAACACATGCAGACAAAACATACACACACACACACACACACACACACACACACACACACACACACACACACACACACACACACACACACACACACACACACTCACCAACCTTCATCACCCGATTGCCCCACCATCAACCCCCCCATCTGCCCCTCCTGTCTGTCTCTTTCTGTTTTTATTATTATTGTTATTATTATTATTTTGGTTTTTGTATTTTCCCACTCCCTGTTTCCAATAAAGACTGCCTGTCCTCATAACTATGAGTTTGATCATCTTTTCATTCATATTTTTTTATTTTCTTATCTGTTGAGTTTCTTGGTCACTGTGAACTGAAAGCCATTGTTGGAATGATACACACAGATTTATAGGTTAAACAGGGCTCCTCTCCCCGATCACACCTGCAGACCCTTTGAAAACACGCATAGTAACTGAGTTTGCTTTTATTAACTAATAGATTGTAATCGATAGAACTCATATTCTAGTCTGAGCTGCGTACCTGCTGAAGTTAGACGTAGAGAAAATGTATTTTCTAAGAGAAGCTCTATTTTGCACGGCGCCCTGGTACAGGCGTGCCCACTCTGTCACGACAGAACAAGTCACTGAATGTTTATTGTAAATACTGAACCTCAGCTGCAGTGTGTTTCCCATCACCATCTTTGTTCCTCTTTGCACACTCATTTTTCTTCATGCTGCTAATCATGTGTGTAAAATGAATTGTGTTTGGGTTGAAAATGAGCTTTAGATGAATTTGCACTGATAAAACTTGAAAGACGAGAGCTTGAAGCTTTAGGACTTTTTTTTGTTTTCGGTACAATAATAAGAAGCTGCTCTCAACTTCTTTGCTGCTCTTGATCAGTCCCACCCATTCGGAGTCATCAACTGGACCATATCCTCCCTCGCCATGCCATCCACTCAGCTGTTCTCCTGTGTTCAAATCATGCAAACATCACATGAATCATGTTGCCTTTTCTCGCTTGTGAACCCTGCAGACATGATTTGCCATTTCTCCCCATCCACCGTTTTCTAACAGCTGTTGCAATATCCTCATCCTATCTTCGACCTCTTCTTTTTTGGTCTTTTTTTCTTTTTATTCCATCACTGTGTGAATGTGAGAGTCGACCTCCAATAAAATCCCACCTGAAAGCATCTCTTCTGAGTCCTTGTGCTTCATGTGTCCCGTGTTATCTGTCCATCAACTCCACCACACTCCGAGGAACCATAAAGACGCCCCCCCCCCAATTGTCTATAAATTGTTCATTACGATAAACGAAGCTCCGTCCCCAATTAATTCGTTCATTGTGAAATCAAACTTTTTTATTTGAGTACTAAAACACCTTACTCGACTTGTTTTTCTGTAGATACACACTATGACTCGCCAGACAGACCGAAGTCGGGACGACACCACTACCAATCGACGCAAAAGGGTCGTGACGGCCCCCGGCACACCCGCTGCTCTCCTCTCCTCCCAGCTCCCCCCCCACAGACGTCCGGGCCCCACACGACACCGGTGCTCCCCGAACCCGACTGACCCGCCCTGAAGACCCTTCTCTGTGACCTCGACGTAGTTGACCGAGGATATCTGTTAACTTATAAAGATATCAATAGTAAAGTCATCTAATACACACTAAATGGATCTTTTGAACGTGGTGGTGACCCAGTCCTCACGAGAGACCCCCCCGAGACCAAAAACCCTTACGCTCAGGGACGGGAGACTCTGGGAAGTTATAAGATTTGTTTGTGTGGTGTGTGTGTGATATATGGTTTGGTGACGCTGTCAGATAGTCCGATATAGACTAGAAAGCCAAGATGTTCACATTCCTGAACACCTGTCTTTTATCTTAACACATACTTTTGCTTTACCAGTCCTACAGAACACGTTCACTTTAATTGGAGGAAGTAACACTTTACCTAAATACGTACATTGTTTAGGGAGATGCAACACTACATCACCTGAATTAAGTGCCTACTATGGTGTGTTTTAGTTATAGTAGATGTACGTGTAAGTCTCTAGATTTATGTACGAATGTACGTGTGTGTTTGTATTTAATAACATTGTAAATGGTAATTTATAACTTCCAGTCCCGTGTCCTAACTCCAGGTAACCGACATCAC